TTCTTAAGTTACGTCAATAAATGCTTTAAGATATTAATTATATAGCATTTAAATTACTTTATTTAATCTTTTCAATTACTATTTTTTGATACCATCTTTTCAATTACTTAAAAGTTAAGAATTAATATAATAAATAATTTAAAACGATATTATTTTTGTAATATCCTAATATTTTTAGATAACAATATTCTCAACATTATTATTAAGTATATTGAAATTTTTAGTTATGATAATATATATACATATATATATATATATATATATATATAAAAGAGAATATTCTGAATTTATAATATTATATTATATATAAAATAATAATAATAATAATAATATTTCTTTTTTAATTTTAGTTATCCTATTTAAAATAAATAAATAAAAGACAAGTGATGTAATACGTATTACGTGTGTGTGTAAGTGTAGATAATGTGAATGGGGTACGTGTAATGTGTGTGCAGTGAATGATGGGGGGAGAATTCTATACGTGTATAGGAATAGATAAAAATGTGTGTGCAGTGAATACGTGGCATGTGAAATAGGAATAGATAAAAAAGGAATATAAGGACAGTGAAATGATGAGTAAGATAAATATAAACGTGAGGTGGAGAAGATAAGTAAGTACCGCAGTAGATAATGTATAATATGTAAATGTGTAGTGTAATTAATTGAAGAGCATAGAAGTTACGCAGGCCCTTACGTAATCCAAGGGGTATTACACCCCTATAAATAGGTGTTACCATTGAACCGTTCAAGCATTGTGAAAAAAAAAACAAGAACGTAGAAAGGGAAGTACGTGAAAAAGAAAGACCATGTGTTAGAAACAATTTTATATCTACTAAGGTAAGGGGATGAGAACTTTATCTCTTTAATTTCATATACTTTTATATTTATGTTATTTTTATCTAGTGAGATGTCTCTAACCTCATTTATTTGCTTAATCTATGATTATTTTTATCCATAATAATTGTTAAGGTATTTATATTTTTATATTGTTTAATTATATTATAATAATTATCATTGTCATTTAATTAATTGATACTCTTAATATATTTTATTTAAGTATATGCTATTTAATCAAAGCTTAAATAATGATAAATTCTCAAATTTATTTAGCGTGATTATTTTTATGATTAGTTATAATATAATTTTGTTAAAATGTCTTTGACTCGTTTTAAAGATAAATATTACACTATGGTCATAGAAGATAAAATTTGAATTAATTTGTAGTTGGAGGTTTAACCTTGGGGATTTAAATGAGTAAGAAATTGTGATTAAAAATTCTTGCGCTGGTTGATATTATTATGCTCATTTATCCTGACTAGTCACTGCAAGTGTAATTCAAATTTTATATATATTGTTTAATATTAACTATTGTTACGCATGATTATAAATATTTCTTTGAAAAATGTTCTCACTCCTTATGTTTCTTATGTAATATAATAATTAAATAAATAGAGATGGATGTTCCAGCGATCCCCGCTCTTTTTCCTTCAGTAATTTTTGCAGTCTTCTCTGGCACAACATGGGGTGTTGATGCTCTAGCCAACTCAGTAACTTTCAATGGAGTAGTTGTGTTTTCATTCACTTCCATATCAAGAAATTCCCACGGTGATAGATGGACCCATCGTTGTTACATTTTACTTACTCTCAGCAAATCACGTGAACCCTATCGTAAATTTGTTCCAACCACCCATGTAATTATTATAGAAGTAGAAAAATAAAAATATGATATGTATATAGGCATGTAATAATCTGTACTATATATATATATAAGAAAAGCAACTACGCGCGTAGTGGAAAATATTATGGTATGGTATGATGTATAATATTATTATTATATACGTGTTTTCTAACTATAAATATTATATATATATATATATATATATATATATATATGGATATTGCTGAGATTAATATTAATACGACTAGGCGTTATAATTTTCTACTAAAATAGACATACATTTATAAATTCTTTAAAAAATAAGTTAGAAATTACTTTAAATTTACTTTACATTGTAATATAATAAAATGTTATAATATTGTTACTTTATTAAGTTATCTTATTGAAATTAGAATTCAAACAAATTTATATAGGTTAAATTGTAATTTTAATCTCTTTATTTTTTGTCAATTTATAATTTTAGTCTCTTTATTTTAAAATAGAGATATTTAATCTCTTTATTTTTAAAAAATACAAAATGTTGGTTCTATTATCAATTTAATATTTATTAATTATTAAATTTTGACGTTATTTAATGATTTGGCAACACATAAGTGATGTAACATTTAGTGACATTTCATATTAAGATAAATATTAAAAATATAATATAAAGAATCTTTATTTATATCTATTTTAATGAATTATTGATATTTATTTTATTAATAAAAATCTTATTTGCAAGTTTTTTTTTTTTATTTCTAGGGGCCTTTATCTTATCCACGTCAGGTGCGTAGCACCAGGCGTGGGCGAGATAAAGAGTTTCCTACCTAGATGGCATCAAGTACTAGGTATGTAGCATCAAGCACCGATTTCTAAATGAAAATTTGTTTGGTTGATGAAATGTTAAATATCATGAGTAGAGTAGATTAATCTATTACATGGTTTAAGTTGTTTAACATTGAATATTATATGTATGTTGATATATAATGGTAATTAGAGATGATAGATGGTTGAGTGTTGAAAGTGAGTTGAGTTGTATGTTGTATGTTGGTGGTGTAGCTTTGTTGGATATGCTTTAAGCATAATGTTGTTGTGTAGTTGAGATGATGAATGCTAAGAATACTTTAGGCATGGTGTTGAAAATTTTGTTGATCAACTTAGGACTATATGAGAGGTTATTTTAATATCTCATCGTGAGAATATTGTGTTGTGGTGCTTCGAGAGTCCAATTTATTGAAAATCTTTCTTCGGAAGTTGAGTCTCCTTTAGAACCTTAGTTGGTACTGAATATGGGTAAGGTCAAACTACATGTGTATAAAGTAGTCAATTGAGTAAAGTATGAAGTCAAAAACTTAGTTCCTAATCGTGTATCGAAAAAGTGTAATATTTGGAAGATAATTGGTAGGTTAATCTCATAAGAGGCTTAGTTAAGCTAATTAATATCATGGTAGGCCCACACCCAAGTTGTTCTACCTTGACAATAGTATTAGACTTTTTTGTTTAAGTAAAAACATCTGAGAAACCAAGTTGTTGTATTGTGAATTATTATCTAATTTATTGATCTAGTAAGCCAAAAAGATTACCCTGTGTTGTTGGTTTGGTAGAGTCAAAATACTTAAACTGCTCACCTGGTGTTGTAGGATATCCTCTTAGTTAAAATGTGCAACGACGCATGTAGTTGTTATTTGTTATGTTGTATATACTATGTTGTTGGCATGAAAAATTTAAGTTATTGATGTAGCGATATTCTAATTGATATTGTGATATGATAGACTGGGTTGTTCATGTTGATATATATATATTGGTGGTGTTGTGATGTTATAAGCTGATAGTGTTGAAAATATAGTGAAGATGTGATGATATATTAATGTTGTTGATAACATGTGTTATGCATGCATGTCTGTGTGTGTATATATATATATATATACATATATATATATATATATATGTATATATATATATATACACACACAGACATGCAT